TCCTGCGACTTCATTTCTTAATGAGTTGTTGAAGCTGATTTGTTGCATAGTTTATGAATGATTCGGAAGACGATATTGTTCATTTTTTTTTATGACTTCTCTTATTCTTTGATACAATCTTCTACCATTTTGATAAATCTATTGGTGGAAATGCCAAAATATAATCTTAACACAAATGATTAAAAGAATATAAGAAGAGACATGAATTCATCACATACTAACTCTTAACTCGTGTGATTGCTACATCCTCTTATCATCTCTGAGATAAAAATATTATTTATGGTCATCTGGCTATGCGGATGATCATATGCACACTATGTACATTTTTGTGATTGGTCCTTCGTTCATTCAGATAGCTACATGTATTATTTTTGTTCATCTTTCCGGAGTTTACTATAATTTGATTATGATGAATTGCATCATTAACAATTATGATGGAAGTAAAAGATCAAGGTCACTTGAAAAGATATTAAATTCATAAAAATATATTTATTAAAGTCTTTTATAGATATTGAGTATTTTTGAGGTATTCAACTATAAACCCTTGACAAGTGGGATCCACTATTCTTCTAACCCTATATATTGCACATTTGAGGTGCAGGAGCAACGCCTAAGCTTGTTCTTCAACTGATGAACATTAGGGGACTCAGCATCGCTCATGTCAAAAGCCATTTACAAGTACTTTAATTTACACATATATATTGCACATTTATAATTAGCTATCTTCTCTTCCCTAATTTTTATGTATTTCTGTTTGAATTTACTTACATCAGATGTATAGAAGCAAGAGGGTTGATGGATCTGGCCAAGGTAATTTTGAAAATTATTTACAAAACACGTGTGTGTGCACCCTTTATTAGCACTTATTGCTCGTTTGAATAAACTACGTTTTGACAGATTTTTCAAAAAGCTGTTGCTAAAATCAGTATTTTTCCTCCGGCCCTGATTAGGTGCAATGACAACTTTGGAGTTGCGGTCTGACTTTAAAAAAAAAATTGTAATAGTCACCGCAGCTTTTTTGAAGGAACATATTATTCTTTAGCAGTTTCACAGGTGCTTCTTAATGAGCTACATGTGACCTCCCAAGAGAGCCCTTAAGAGACCCTTAAGACCTCCCAAGAGAGCCCTTAAGAGAGATGGGCAGCCCAGGACTTAAATACTGTTTTTTGGCCCTACACCTAGCCAATGTGAGACTATTTGTCTGTGACACTTCTCCACCCAATCACGTGACGCATTCGTCAAGGATCGGCTCCACCAAGGGTCCTACTGGAGCATGGAGAGTCCACACACCTGGCAGACAGTAATCTGTTATGATACCTCACATACTAACTCTTAACTCGTGTGATTGCTACATCCTCTTATCATCTCTGAGATAAAAATATTATTTATGGTCATCTGGCTATGCGGATGATCATATGCACACTATGTACATTTTTGTGATTGGTCCTTCGTTCATTCAGATAGCTACATGTATTATTTTTGTTCATCTTTCCGGAGTTTACTATAATTTGATTATGATGAATTGCATCATTAACAATTATGATGGAAGTAAAAGATCAAGGTCACTTGAAAAGATATTAAATTCATAAAAATATATTTATTAAAGTCTTTTATAGATATTGAGTATTTTTGAGGTATTCAACTATAAACCCTTGACAAGTGGGATCCACTATTCTTCTAACCCTATATATTGCACATTTGAGGTGCAGGAGCAACGCCTAAGCTTGTTCTTCAACTGATGAACATTAGGGGACTCAGCATCGCTCATGTCAAAAGCCATTTACAAGTACTTTAATTTACACATATATATTGCACATTTATAATTAGCTATCTTCTCTTCCCTAATTTTTATGTATTTCTGTTTGAATTTACTTACATCAGATGTATAGAAGCAAGAGGGTTGATGGATCTGGCCAAGGTAATTTTGAAAATTATTTACAAAACACGTGTGTGTGCACCCTTTATTAGCACTTATTGCTCGTTTGAATAAACTACGTTTTGACAGATTTTTCAAAAAGCTGTTGCTAAAATCAGTATTTTTCCTCCGGCCCTGATTAGGTGCAATGACAACTTTGGAGTTGCGGTCTGACTTTAAAAAAAAAATTGTAATAGTCACCGCAGCTTTTTTGAAGGAACATATTATTCTTTAGCAGTTTCACAGGTGCTTCTTAATGAGCTACATGTGACCTCCCAAGAGAGCCCTTAAGAGAGATGGGCAGCCCAGGACTTAAATACTGTTTTTTGGCCCTACACCTAGCCAATGTGAGACTATTTGTCTGTGACACTTCTCCACCCAATCACGTGACGCATTCGTCAAGGATCGGCTCCACCAAGGGTCCTACTGGAGCATGGAGAGTCCACACACCTGGCAGACAGTAATCTGTTATGATACCACCTATCACCTCCCAAAAGAGCCCTTAAGAGAGATGGGCAGCCCAGAACTTAAATACTGTTTTTCGGCCCTACACCTAGCCAATGTGGGACTATTTGTCCGTGACATACAGCTATCCTGAACAAGCCATTAATTTGTTTAGCATGTAAAAATTTAATGTTTTCTAAATTTTAATTTCTTGTTTTGTGAAACAACAATCAACACAATTAATAATGATTTATGTTTTAACTGGGAAAAAAAAATCTACATTTATATGGAGGATATGCTCTCATCAAAATTTGTTTCTTATATTTCTCTTATGGTTATGCATTGAATTTCAGGAACATGAGCAGTTAAATTAAATTTTGTGTAAAAATATTTTAGGTGTAGCCAATGCAAGTGTCATGTTCGAAGAGAAGCTTAGCTACCTTCCAATTTTGCATGGTTTTCAGCATAGATACTCAAACTTGAGGTATGTAAAAGCCTTCCTTTATTTTTAAATTCTATGCTTAAATTTTGCTAAGGTATACCTGATTTTTTTTTATCATGGAGAATTTACATACATACCATGTAATTTCTATTTATTTACATATCCTAGCAACCACTAAGCTTCAATTTTTACATTTATGCCACTTTTACCGTGCATGAAAAAAATGTATTTGTTAATATAATGATATTTTTTATATGATATGAAGGATTTGGGTGGTGTACATGTCAGAAGTAAAGTTTAGGAGTTAGATATGTAAATATATAGGAATTGGGTGGTATGTATCTAAATAGCTTGTCTATTAATGCAAGTTATTTCCAAAAAAAATTCAAAATATTTCTCTTATATCTCAAAACAACAATCAAAATATAATATTGGGTCAAACCCTTATATGGGAAGCTTTATAAATGTTTTAAAAGAAATCCTCATTATCATCAATTTTACATGAAAATCCATAAATAACTTTTTATATAAACCCTTATAGATACTTATAAACACAAATCAAATTATTAAAATATGAAAAAAATAATTAATAATTCACCTTATAAAATTTCAATCTCAGATACTCAAAGTCATCTTCACCACACCAAAAAATATTACAATGTAAAGCATAAATAACTATTTTCTCATTTCCAAAACAACTATCATTTATTTTTTTGTTTGAACTAAAATCAGCAAAAAATGTGAACAAATTAGTCCTTCTTCTTTTTACATATTCAAGGTTCAGCCATGGAAATTGGAATCCTTACAAAAGATCACCTATGATCAACACCTCCCACCATCATAAACAACTTGAAAGACCAAAATCTATTTTAGAAGCACAGGAGATGATCAGATTATGGAAGGAGAAAGATAATGAAATATTGCCAGATCTGAATTTATCCTTAACCATTAATGCACCAAGCAAAAAAACAGAAGAAGAAGAAGAAGAAGAAGAAAGCTGCCTATCTCTATCCTTGTCTTCTCCTCTCTCATACCAAGAAGTTCAGCAGAAAGGGCTTGAACATAAGCGAAGTAATTAAGGAAAAGAACCTGCATATAAAGCTGACAAGCAGTACTCTTGATCTGATTATCTGAATTTAATTTATGAGATGGAGCAGACATTTGAATTGATTCTATATAGTTTTGATTTCTGAGCTAGTTTTGATAGTTTGTATATCACACCATACCTTGGTGTTTGTAACCTAAGTATGATAATATATTAGTTATGTCTTAGTATATGTTTTCTTGGTTTTTTCAGACTTATGATTAAATATTGGAATATTTACATATGTACCAGTCCATTCTTATGTATTTACATGACTAATACTTAAACTTCAATTTGTGTAAGTATGTCACCTTATGTATGCATGGAATGTTTTATTTCATCTTTTAAAAATTAAATAATGTTATTTAAGATGTGATATGAAGAATTTGAGTGGTGTAAATATAAAAAAATTAAATTTGTTCTTGTGTAATTACTGATATATCATATTATTCTACTAAAAATTTACAAAAATATATTGATAATTAGATGTTGAGGTGATACATAAAATAAGCGTGTAGGAAGATATATATAATCAGTAACTAAAAATAATTAGATGATATAACGTAAACACAAAAAGTTTGCAATGACATGTTGGTGATACCACACACACACACACACACACACACACACACAGATACATACATACATACATATATATATATACGGTTCAATCTGGATAGATGACAATAAGCATACAAAATATGAAGATTTACATGCATACCACTCAATTCTTATTTATTTAGATATCTAACACATGAATTTCAAATTTACCTATATATGATATATGCCACCTTATTTATGCATGAAAATGTGTATTTCACATTTTAGAAGTTAAAATAGTAATATTTTTTATGCGATCTGAATGATTTGGGTGGCCTAAATACGTAAGAACTAATGTTAGGTGTTAGATATGTAAATACATAATAATTGTGTGGTATATATGTTAATGCCCCTACAAAATAATAAGGAAAAGCTATATATATACTAACTCCATAAAAAATATTGACTAGTTCATTGAAAAATAGCAAACTCTGTCCATCTGATAAACTTTTAACAGAATATATTTGATATAAAGAGACAGTTATTCATTATTATTTTTTTAATTATTTTTTTTCATTTATTTTTTTCAGCATTTATTCTAAGTGCAAATTCTAGATTTAGACTTTTTCTCCAATTTGACAGCTAATTAGTTGACTGATGAATTGATGATTTAAAAGGAGTGTGACAGTTTTGACTTGATTCCTTCCTAATTTGTCTTCGATTAGTTAATGCCTGCAAGCTGTTTATATGATTTCAAATGCCAGAGAATTATATATAATGCTGCATTGTCTATGTAATATAATTAGGGTTGATTTCTTGGATAGAGAAACATCTTAGAACTATATATACATATAGACATATATATCTTGACAAGAGAAATATATATATATAGACTAATCATATGTATTATATAAGAATTAAAATTAATTTATTATGAAATGCCTTTAAACTTCAAGTTGCCATAATGTAATTTGTTTCAATAAATTGTAATTATAGAATATGCACATTAGTAGTCAATTAAATCAATTGTTGTACAAAAACTCTACATGAGTCTAACGTTAAGATGTAATCTATGTGAACAAACAAAGCGAATGAGTTGTTGACTATTAAACACAATTATTGTGAATCAGTTAGATTTAAAAGCAATTGTAATTCAATTACTAACACCTAGATATACAACTATAAGTTAAGACGATTATAAGGTAAATGATACAAATGAGAGTATTATTAATTTAGTCACAATGTTAGTGATCTTTTAAACACGAGAGCACCGACATACTTAATTATAGTCTTTACTAATTAATATTTAAACACAAGTAAGTGGAAAAAGTAAACATTGCAAGAATTAAAAGATGGGCTATAGAGAATGTATGCATATAAAAATACTAATATTTAGGTGCTATAGGTAGTTGATTTTGTGAACAAAAGTGTAAGAAGAAAATCAAATAAAGATTAACCAATAGAAATTGATATTCCTAAAAAATTGTTTTTTGCTAAAGAGAGGTAGAGGCACATAAGATATCTACTAAGGTCTTAAACTCTATAGCATATCAATGAAATTTACTTGCAGTTCAAATATAGGTTGTTGTGGTCACCCAACAAATCTACATTTATTCCTAAGCCCTCCACCAATTTAGAATTTTGCTAATCCAATTTTGCCATCACAAGACCAACTCTAATTTTAATAGGTGAAGAAGCATTTGCACCGCTTATGCACCCTCTCTTCACAAGATAATTGCAAGCACTACTGCAAGAAATTAATAGTTTATCAATGGATATTATATATAAGTAATGCCAAAAAAAATTGTTAGACAATATCATTTATTATCAAAAAAATAGGTTTCCTCATATTCTTTCATTTTGCTTTAGCTACATCTATCCCTTTCTCATGTGAAATGGTTGCTATCACTTCTCTTCTGCTTTTATTCAACCCATGAATATCCAATCGATGTTCCTCTTACTTTCAGCCCTAAACAAATGCTAATGATAATGAGTCTTCTCTTGATTATTCAGCTACAACCATCTCCACCCTCCTCTTTTCACATTCTAGGAAACCCCATCATTGAATGAATCATCACACCTCTACATCAAAACATGAATTCGTAAGCTTATGGGAAGTAAAATTTACTTAAATTTTAAATTACAAATCCAAGGTTTTGACCCAAAATTAAATTAAGCAGAACACTACCCAATCAATTAAATTCACATTGATGAGACATTGCTAGCTTTGAGTGTTACATAAAGTACTAAATCTATTGGTTGTAAATTAGAAAGTGTGAATGTTAGGAAGATTGATATTAGATAATCTAATTTGAGGAAATCTAACTATATGATTTTTTTTTATATTCTAAAATCTATTTAGAGTAGATCTATTTGCATGATTTTTCTTAAGTTTAAAATATTTCTAATTTGCATGTCGTAATCCCCTCTAATTGAAGGATTTTGGAGTTGAATACATGAAATGCAATTTATTAGTAGTAGCTCTAGTGATAGAGTTGTAACTATGGGTGATCAAATTATTAAAAGGTGTGAACGATTTAGATATCTTTGGTCTATTGTTTAAAGTGATGGTGATATATGGGGATGCTATTATTAGAATTTAAGTTGGTTGGTTTAAGTGGTGGAATGCTTCGGACCTATTGTGAGATAGAAAAATACTGCTTAAACTGAAAGGAAAATTTTATAAGTTGGTGGTGAGATATACAATGCTCTATGGAGCTAATTGTTGGCCTTTAAAATAGAAGCATAAGACTAAGTTAAGTAATGCCGAGATGAGAATGCTTAAATGGATGAGTGGCTTTACACTTAGAGACAAAATGCGAAATGAGTATATCTTTGATAGGGTTGGTGTAGCTCCAATGACGAACAAAATTAGAGGGAGTCATCATAGATGGTTTGGTCACATTAAACACCGACCATCAGATGATCTGATTATGAGAGTAGATGTTAGATTTGACTTATGCTATGAAAGGAAGAGGTATACTTATAAAAACTTGGGCATATTGTATAAAAATGATATTAAACCACATAAATTGTATTGTATTTAGTTATTTGTTTATTCTGTGAATTTATTTTTCTCATTATTTTGTACAACAATTGGTATCAGAGTCAAATTTGTGATTTCGACGACAGGCAGCTACGACTGACAAAGTTGTGAACGTAAGATAAAGAGATCAAAATCAGTTGGCTATGGGATTTGGTTGAGCCAATGATAATAGCATGTCGTTAGTTACTTCAACATTGAACATGACTGTAAAAAAAGTGTTGATTTATTAGGTTTCTGTCAAGATTGAGGTAAGAAAATTTATCGACAAGGAGAACTTTGACAGACAACAATGTCTGATGATGGATATGTGGTGCTCTTTGAATTTGAAAAAAGTTTTTGATATTAATGAACGTTTTGGAGAGATGTTAGAAAGAGATTGGTTGACGATGAACCAAATTATTTGTAGCATAATATGAAATTATTTATCTCAGAAGATCAAATATGAGTGATGATGCAGACTTCTGTAAGAAAATTGAGGATATTAGAGAACAAATAACTTATGAAGAGGGTCGAGAATCATCCTTATATAAAGCATCAATCTATATATTTCAGATGAGAAATGGGGTTACTATTGATAAGCAGTGCTTGAATGATTTTACAAAATTTTTGGCATATCAGTTAAATTTAGATAAGAAGGTTTGAGATGAAGACAAAACACATCTGTTTTTGGTTCCTTTTAAGAACTCAGAGTCTCCAACTTGTCTATATATAATATCTCGTCATCATATGGTTTCCCTTTCCAAATAAATCTCCCTCTTAGATTATGTAGAATAAACTAAAGAGGAGAGAAATCAGAAATGACGAGATATACTGTGAAAATAGATGAACAAAATTAAAAAAACATGGAGGACTTATGTATGGTAATCATCGTGTGATTAGTCGAGAGTATACGTTTGAACAATCTTAGATCGAAATACCTCGAAACACGGTGTCCATGAAGAAAATTCCTACACAAGACACCAATAACCTGAGAACCAAAGAGAACAATTTTGTTAAGGGGGTCAAGAGCACTCCCAAAGGAATGAATTCCTTTGGTTAGTTACATCTTGAGGGATACCAAAAAACAGTCTCAATAAAAGGAGTCTTGCTTACATTATCAGGACTAGTAAATAGGTCATCAAAAGGATAATTATTTCACATGAACATCCCATTCCTTTCAAAGATCTTGCTAAGCCACTTAGTAGAGAGTGAATCTCTCACATCCCAATGGGTAACGACGCTTCGACAATCGGAGCCTCTGAAATAATCAAGTCGACCCATAAGGTTCATAATATTTTTCTAGGGCCAAACCGGGCCAAAAAAGTAGAGGGTGAATCACCGTATCTCAAATAGATGGTGGCCTATCCATAATCGGGGCCTATGAGAAGAAATCAATGAGGTGTTAAAAGGATGACATGACTCAAAAGGGT